ACCAGACACAGCTCTCACTGTCTCTTCTGCATGAGTCAGGACATGTCACTTTCTTGGTATTAATGTGTGAAAATATGCACTGAGTATTACCGATCGGGGAAGCTCACAGAAGCCTTTGGTGTTCAGAGGTTTTACCGGGGCTCGTGGCATACCGCCCACGGGGCTGACCATTAGTCATTAGGCCTTCCCAGAGGTCAGGCCAATGCCTTTAGTCTCTAGTTCTCTCAGAGGTCAGAACTGATACTGTGCAGCCAAGAGATCTCATCATAAACCACGCTGTCAGACTGTCCAGTAGCCAAAGCCCCCAGTAAACAAAGACTCTTCTGTCACACAGGACATTCCAGGGGCTTAGATAGCATCTCCCAGTCGCCAAGGGAAATGGCCAGACCTCTCTTATGGTTAATTCTTCCCTACACAAGTATAATGACGCCCCTCCCCTGCCTCTGCCCATACTTATTACTTAAATTCAAAATTATAATATTGGCCCTAGCCAGGTAGCTCAGTTGGTTAGAGCATTGTCCCCATATGCAAAAGTTGTGGGTTCAATCCCTGGTCAGGGCACATATCAGAATCAATGAATGAATGCATAAATAAGTGGAACAACAGATCACTGTTTCTCTTTCTCTCTAAAAAATCAATATATAAAAATTAAAAAATTATAATAGCAATAATGGCCAATTTTATTTCATTTGATAGTGTGCTAGAGTCAACTCATAACTAGTTCACGAAAACTGTTAAATTTTTAGGAATTTTGTAAGCTGATTGTTAAACACAGCCATTATAAAAAATAAGTCATATAAACTTATAATTACATAAATTAGACTAAACAAAGACAATCAATGCTCAAAAATCATCATTTTTTAATTATTGTACTATTCATATGCTCTTAATCCAATTTACAGCTCCTATGTCTGTATGATGAAAATACTGCAGAATGATGATAATGCTACTGTGCCTCTCTGCCCATCTCTGCATTAAGTGGCATTACAGTGGTGGCATGAAATCGACCGTGATAAGAGCATTTACACAATGAAAGTCAGGAAATGCTGTGGATCAGGACTGGTGTTTGTTTTTTTTTTTTTTTTGATACTCCTTAATTTTGAGAAGTATCTTTCTGGTTATCCGATACTGGAGCTGTTAAGAGTAGATTGTGACAACATTGGGATACATTTCTGATACATTATTTCAAAGTATAAGCCATAGTGCTTCTAGAGCTGATGATATTGATGGAATAGTTTTTCTAAACAATGTAACTTACTACAAATCAGTTTGGTGTAGGTGTGAATTTAATTTTAGTGGTAAGTTTACACAATGGCATTTTAGTGTTTCCTCTGACATTTTCTATGGGCTGTATAGGCTGTACAAACCCTAGTAGTGGCTTTTTGATTTGTATATATTTATTTATGTAAAATAAAATATATGTAATCAAAATTTCACATATGTAAAAATATTGTTTTTCTGTTATATACAATAATCTCAGCATTTATTTTCTGTTTCTAAGACTCTGGACATCGCTTTGCAATGTTGCTTCAGTTTTCCAAACCAGAGTTTCTAAACTCTTTGAAGAAATCTAGTTAGACTTGATATGCTTTCTTGTAACATATATGTGTATGCTTTCATCTTGTAGTAATTTGCTGACCAGATTTATTGCCCATGGTCCAGAAATAGCAAGATCACAATCAGTTTTTGACTATCTTTTATTTCATTCTGTGCAGACGCCACAGAGATTGGGTCTGGAGGTGGAAAGGGAACCAGTTTACCTCCACTGAGGGGCCCCTCTTCTCTGCTGCGGCTGCTGCCACCAGCCTGGCCCCAGGTCTGGGCCCTGCCCTCCCTCAGACCACACAGCACTGCTGACTGTCCCGCCTGTGTCCCCCGGGTGCTGGGCCAGCTTCTTAGAGTGTGGATTGGCTGTCTCTATGGCAGATCCCACGGGGTGGTGGGGTGAGTGCATTTTAATTGTTTTGTTCTTCTTTCTAGTTTTCTGGATTTTATTCAAGAATAATAGTTAAGTAGATAGGCAACAAAAATTATTTTTAATGTAAATTATGTTATCAGCTCTTTTCCTGAATTTCTGCCTTTGTAACATTGTATTTATTTCTTGATGTAGGGTGTATCTGAACAGGTATATGAAGTTGAAAAGCATAGTGTGGTAACTTGAAATTTGTTTTATTAAAATATTTACTTGCCCTTGATTTATTTTTAGTTGTGTCCTCATTTCTTTCAGGAATCTGGTCCACTTTAATTTGCACAAGTGACTAAATCTGTATGAGCTTCAGAGAGGCACTTCTGTAATAATTTATGCTTTAAATTGCTCTGAGTGGACAAACGGTATCTTAGGAGGTAATATTGCTTTAATTATAAATCCTTGAAAATAATCAGAAACTAAGTGACAAGACTTAAATCTAATTTCATTTTGGGCCCCTTGGTTAGTCAAGATGAGTGCTTTATACCTTCAGAGGAAAGCAGAAGGGATGATGAGCTGACGTAGCAATGCAAAGCTGACATTAACACTTTTAGAGTATTTTCCTGTAACTCAGAACAGTATTGAATCAGAAATGATGGAGCCACAAAGAACGTGTTGAATTTCATAAAGTATGTATTTACCATATTTTTTCAGACCATAAGATGCACCTAGGTTTTAGAAGAGGAAAATAGGGAAAAAAATTTGAAGCAAAAATGTGGTAAAATATTTAATAATGTAAATAACATAGTATTTCACCAATGTAAATGTAAAGCTACATCCGGACTATAAGACACACCCCCATTTCTTCCCAAATTTTGGGCAGGGGCAGTATGTCTTATAGTCCCCAAAATACGTACTGGTTTGTCCTTAAGAGAACTTGAGGTATCTCACTATTTTCAAGTAAATTAATGCAAAATTCATCATCTGAACTAACTAGAATTGAGATGCCACTGAACTTAGAGAAAAGCATAATAACCTCTCTGCACTCAGAAATCTGGAATCCCACTTCGAGGTCTGCCATATCTCTTCCCCTTTCTATTTCTTTTTGGAGTCCCTATTCTCTTCTTCCCACGGTCATAGAGAACGCTGACAGTTTTCATCTAAAGAGAAAAACAACTCAGATACACGAGGGTGGGCAGGACTGCGCTTCCTACGAGGGTTAAAGGTGATTTAAGGGAGAAAAGTTTCCCTGTCTATAAAAATTGATTATTAGAGTCCCTCGTTGGGAGTAAGACATTGTCTCTAGAAAGCCCTTATTTATTATAGGTAAAGATTGATACATTGGCCTGTTATAAATGCTATCATTTCAGCAAGGACAATTTCACTATCCTACTCAGCTGTTACCTTAGAAAGGGAGACTTTTATATTAACCTTACACACACAGATACACACAACAATTTGAGCAGCTTTGGTCATCCAGCCTAGTACTCAGCACATTGTAGCCTAAGGTATACCTTTCATATATTTTTATTAAATTTATGGATACGCAAAGAAGAAAGGCTGTGTGTGTTCTGTAGTATGTTTAGGTGTGCATAGAGTCTGGATATTAAAGCTACTGAGGCTAGCTTTTTTTTTGATGCAAAGATGAAAACATTTCTCAGTCACCAAAACCCAAAATGCAATGGTGAAATGCATCCTGCCTTGGAATACACTGTCTTAACTCATTGGGGTTTCAACTGTTCAGATATATCTTTAAACTAAAAATAAAACATATAAATTAGTGGAGTGAAGAAGTCAGACAAATGCTCAGTCAGTATGAGAACAATGTCTTGCTTTACTATTTTTCTTTAGATCTACAAAACTTTTAAGGATTTTGGAGGAATGGGAATAAGATGGTGAATTTTATACTCCAAGTTTTTCTGTCTGGATATGTCAAATTCCAGGTAACTTCAATAACACAGCAATGGGAATTTACAAGGGCCCTCAAAGAGTTAAAAGATTTTTCAATCCTGGTGAACTTCTAATAATCCTCACCTAATTTATTTACTTGTTACAATTAGTATTTTTTAAAAAGAAACCCTTTCAGAAACACGGGACTATTGGGAGTCATGCCAGAGGTCTTAACACAGTTGTTTTAATTAATTAATCAATTAATTAATTATTTTATTTAATCTATTGATTTAGTAGGAACAGCACAAACACTCCCAAAGCCTGGTATAACCAGATCCAAGTGGTAAGCTTAGATGGGAAGAAAAAGTAATTTGCTTGGCATCTCCTGTATTATCTCAAGAGTTTCAGTAAAAAATAAAACGAGGAGAAATGTTTCAGGAGCCAATTGAGCGTCCAGACTCAAACCAAAAATCGAACCTGGGACTTTTTCTAAGCGCGAACAGACCAAGAAGGCAAAGGGAAACAGCCAGTGGCGCCTCTGGGCCAACGGGGCGCGGCGGGCAGGAAGCCCAGGGCCGGCGAGACCCTCTCTCGCGGTTTTCGGGAAGGGGCTCGGGGAGCTCCGTCCCTATCCCCCCCTCCCCGCGGTCTCCTCCGCCCGACGGCTGAACCGCGGGACGCAGCGCCCGGTGGGGCGGGGGGGGGGCAGAAAGGCCAGGGAAGGTGACTGGCGACGGGACGCGAGCGCGGCACAGGGCGGGAAAGCGTGTCCCCTGGCGTCGCGGCTGCTGTTGTCCGGGGTGCTGAAAAGCCTGGAACTTCCCGGCAGGCGGCGGCCACTTGCACGGTTGAGGGCGGGCTGCGGGGACCGAGGTGTCTGCCAGCCCAGGTCCTCAGCCCCGTCAGGGGGTGGAAGAGAAAGGATGGGGGTAAGCCTAGGGGCAGGGCGGGCGGGAACCCGGGCAGCTCCGAGCCACGACCGCCGCTCCACCTGCGCGCGAACTCTCGGCGCCGGGGGACGCGGCGCCCGGGCACAGACCGCCGCGGCGAGCCCGGCGCGGGCGGCGGGCGCCGGGGTGTGCGCGGGGAAGCGGCCCCGGTCCCGGGATGGGGGGGTGGCGGGGGAGCCCGGAGCGAGCGGGGCATGCGCAGTGGGGCGGAGGAGGTGGCGATGGCCGGGGGAGGCGGGGGGACTGCTGTTTATTTGCAGCTGGGCCAACTCGGAGGCGCAGGCGGCGGCGCAGCGCGGGGCGCCGGCGGCAGGTTCAGTGGCAGCATCATGCCCGAGCCCACCTCCAGGCAGCCGCCGCGCGCCGCCCGGGCCCCGGCCGGGGAGGATGCCAGACGCCCGGGAGAGGCCAGGACAGCGGTGGCGGCGCGATGGTGGTGACAAGCTGTGCCCGAGGCGGCGGCGGCGGAGAGGACCGCGCGCCCTCCCGGCGGCGGGACTGCGGACTCGCGCCGGCCGGTGCCGCGGCGCTGCTGGCCGGGGCGAGCTGCCTGTGCTACGGCCGCTCCCTGCAGGGCGAGTTCGTGCACGACGACGTGTGGGCGATCGTGAACAACCCCGACTTGCGGCCCGGCACCCCGCTCCGCTGGAGCATCTTCGCCAACGACTTCTGGGGCAAGGGCATGGCCGAGAACACCAGCCACAAGTCCTACCGGCCGCTCTGCGTCCTCACCTTCAAGTGAGTCCTCGCCGCGCGCTCGCCGCCTCCGCTCGGCACTTCGCCCTGCGGGGCTCCGAGAAGTTGCGGGACGAGCTCGGGGGGCGTTTCTTCCCTTGCTGCCCCTTCCCCCTCGGCGCCTCCCTCCCGTCCGGGCTGTCCGCGCCACGCTGCTCCGTGGACCTCGGCCCCGCTTCTCTGGGCTCCCAGGCGGTCGGGGAGGCGCGGGCTCGGGAGTTGGGATCGAGTTTCTCAGGAGTCTGAGCTTCTCGCGGCGAGGGCCGGGAGGGGGGTTGGAGGCGCTGCCTCCGCATCCCCCACCGCTGCCGGAGCGTGGTCAAGTGAGACCCGCGCGGGCCCTCGGAGCCCCGAACCGCTGGCTGGGGTGGTGATGCTTCCAAGTTGGGAATTTCTCGGAGGTGTTTTGCAGCTTTGCAGTTGGGGAGTGTGTTAGTTCCTTAGGGGTCGCGTTCGGAGGAGACGAGGCGGGAGCCTTGAGCTGCCAGGGCTGAGTGAGTTTCGGGGAGAGGCAGGAGAGCGAGCAGAGGCTCTTTCTGGACCTGCAGGCTCCCAGAACCTCTCCAGTGTGCGGAAAGGGCCCCGGTCTAGACTTCGAAAGGTGCACAGGCAAGGCATGCAGATACGTGGGATCCTCTGGGGATCCTGGCGTCCCAGTCGAAATACTTTTACAACCTCGGAGTCATGATTCAGCATTTCTGGTGTGAATAAAGTGTAAAGGGACCCGAGGAACCGCCAGAGTTCCGTAGGGCGGAGAATTTTCTTGAATTTAAAAGAGGGCTAGCTTCAGGTGGAAGGGGAGAAGGGCTGGTGTGAGGGGAGTGCTGTCATACAACATGAGCCTGATTCAAACCCCTTATAATTTGGCTCAGCATTTGAACTTATAATGTCTCGTATAAAACTGTTGAAATAATGTTCAGTATCATCAGCGTTTTAAGCCTTCTTTTTTTTAATGGGTGCAATATGAACCCGTCTTTACGGTAATGATTATTTGAGACAGTTTGAAAAGCCTGCCCCTGCCTGGAGGCCAAGGTCTCCTGACAGGTGGCTCTGATGACTTAGGAAAGGAAACCATAGCAATTGGCAACAATTCACGGGCTTTTGACTTAATTCTTTCCATTGAATGTTTAATGTTTTAAGGAGGGTGAGGAAATTGCACATTTGACTCGGAAGAGAATATTTTATAAACATTTGTCCTCTTGGAAAGTGGTTCTGGTTTTCAGCTGAAAGTTAAAAGCCCTTGAATTGTTGCCAATTGCTATGGTTTCCTTTTCTAAGTCATCAGAGTCACCTGTCAAGAGACTTCGCTGGGGCCTCCAGCTACTGAGTAGCTCAGTACTTTCAGTTTTCCAAATGTTTCTTAAAAGTCTCCTTAGATGGCACAAATATAATGTTTAAGTTTAGACTCACCTGCCTTTTTCATCTAGTACAGTGAGGGCTGTTGGCTAATTTAAGGTGCTGACGCTCACAGCATGAGGTGAGCTGGACGTACAATAGCCGTGAAGGTCCCTGTTCTGATTATTTTCTGTTTAAAAAGGTCAATGTCAAATGCTTCTGCCCAGTTGGTGGAGGGTGAGGAAGGGTGTTTTCACTTCTTAACTCTCTAAAAAGTTTTGCTATGTTTTATTTATTTTTAATTAATGCAGTAAACAGCAGGGGCAGAAGAAAGGAGGGTGGGAAGGGAGTAGACAGTGAGCCAAGGCCACTGCAGAGGAAAGTTAGCAGAGATGTGGCAGAACCAGGGGCAAGGAGCAGGGGAGTGGGGAGCAGGGGCAACTCTTGTAACCACTGGTTATAAAAAGCAGCTTGGTGTCTGAGATGCATTGCTCTTAGAATTGTGTATCTTATTGGCTATGCAATATATATTTTAAAAAAATTTATTTTGAGAAGGTTGAGTTGCAAACCTAGGGTGCAACAGAGTACTAGTTGGAAAGGATGGGTGCCTCATCAGAAACAGAAAGCGAACTGGTCTTTTCTGTACACACAGGCCCGTGGATTTAAATAAGGCCTGGAAGTTTCCTTAGTACACAGTCACCTGAGGTGAAACTGTACCACTAATGCAATCGCATAAATCTGGGCATGTATAAGGGGTGACATGAACCACACTAGACCCACACAACTGTAAAGATTGTTGCAAGGAGGGACAGAAAATCATACTTACTGACTTTCCATTGTGATCCAAGCATTGGCCTGGGTGCTTTACATAGATTATGCCCTTATGATTTTTATTTTAGGTAATTGGTAAAAACACCAAGTGGCCTTTGAAATATATGCAGACTGTTTTAACTATATCTTAAGTTAGGCCTGCTTGAGCAAAAATCTTTGAGAATTTAGAACTATTTAAAAATTTTACTTTTTATTTTTACTCTGGTAAGAACACAGTGTGAGATCTACCATCTCTAAGTGCAAGCACAGCATTGTTCCATCCAGGCACCATGCCGTCCGGGCCTCTCCAGCGCACTTCTCTTGAATAATTGAAACTATATACCTGTGCAGCAGCGACTGCTCTCTCCCCCAACCCTGCTCTTGGCAACGACCATTTCCTGATCTGTTCCTACAGGTTAGACTACTTTAGATACCTCAAAAGTGGACTTCTGCCAATGGCAGACTTGACTTAGCATAATGTTCTCCGAGTTCATCTGTGTGGTCACACATGGCAACACAGGTGAACAGGGTTTCCTTCTGTTTTTTTTTTTTTTTTAAGGCTGAACAATCCATTGTATGCATATATCACTTTTCTTTATCCATTCATCTGACATTGGACACTTTAGTGGTTTCCATGTCTTGGTTATTGTGAATAATGCTGCAGTGAACATGGAGCATATGGAGCACGTGGAGGTGCATATATCTCTTCAAGATTCTGATTGCAGTTCATTTAGATATACACACAGGAGTAGGATTGCTGGATCACGGCATAATTATATTTTCACATTTTTGAGGATCTGCTAATCTGTTTTCCATAGCGATAGCACCATTTTACATACCTACCAATAGTGTACAAGGGTTCCAGATTGTTGAATTTTTCCACATTTTTGCCAAGCCAACACTTATCTTTTTTTTTTAATATAAAAGCCATCCTAACAGGTGTGTGTTAATATCCCATTGTGGTTTTGATTTGCATGATTATGTTTTATAATTAGGATATCATCATTTTTTCATATACCTGTTGGCCATTTGTATGTGTTCTTTGGAGAAATGTCTATGTCCTTCACCCATTTTCAGATCAGGTTATTTGTTTTTGTACTTTGTTTTTGCTTTGAGTTGTAAGAGTTTCTTATATATTTAGATATTAATAACCTCAGATATGTGGCTTTCACATATTTTCCTTTATTCCGCAGGTTGCCCTTTTGTGCCATTGATTGTTTCTTTTGCTATGCAGAAGCTGTTTAATTTGGTGTAGTTTCAGTTGTCTAATTTTGCTTCTATTGTTTGTGCTTTTTGATGGCATATCTGAAATCCATTGCCAGGCCTAATATGAAGTTTCTCCCTCCATGCTTTTCCTCTAGGAGTTTTACAGTGCCAGGTCTCACATTTACATTTTTAATACATTTTGAGTTGATTTTTATATACAGTATAAGATATGGGTTCAATTTCTTTCTTTTGTGTGTGGACATTTTCTCAATTCCATTTTTGTGAAAAGACTATCCTTTCCTCATTATGTGTTCTTAACGCCCTTGTTGAAGATCATTTGACCCTATGTGCATGTGTTGATTTATGGGCTCTTGGTGCTTTTCCTTTGGTTTATATGCCTGTTTCTATGCCAATACCACACTGTTTTAATTACTGTAGCTTTGGAATACATTTTGAAATGTGGAAGTGTGATGCCTCCAGCATTGTTCTTCTTTGCATATTCAGGTTTTCTTGTGGTTCAGTATGAAATTTATGATTTTTTAAAATTTCTATAAAAATGCTATGGGCATTTTTTTAGGGATTATGTTGAATCTATAGATAGCTTTGGGTAGTATAGGCATTTTAACATTATTAAATTTTCCCACCCATGAACTGTGATGTCTTTACATTTATTTATGTCTTCTTTAACTTCTTTCATCAGTGATTTATGGTATTAAGTGTACAAGCTGTTCACCTCTTTGGCTAAGTTTATTCTTTTTTTCTAATCCTCACCCAAGGATATGTTCACTGATTTAGAGAGAGAGAGAGAGAGAGAGAGAGAGAGAGAAAGAGAAACAGAAACGTAAGTGTGAGAGAGAAACACCCATGGGTTGCCTCCTGTACATGCTCCGACTGGGGATCAAACCTGCAACCTAGATATACGCTCTGACTGGGAATCAAAACTTTTGGTGTATGGGACAACAGTCCAAAAAAATGAGCCTGGTGAAAACTGGCTAAGTTTATTCTTAAGTGTATTTTACTCTTTTTGATACTATAGTGAATGGAATTATTTTCTTACTTTTGGATAGTTGTTAGTGTATTGAAATGCAGCTAAATTTTTAATGTTGAATTTGTATCTTATCACTTTATTGAATTCATGTATTATTTCTAATTGATTTTTGGTGGAGTCTTTAGGTTTTTCTACATATAAGATCATGTCATCTGTGAACAGACATAATTTATTACTTTTAGATTTGGAGGTCTTTTATTTCTCTTTCTTGTCCATTGCTCTGGTTAGGACTTCTGTACCATGGTGAACAGGAGTGACACACGCAAGTATTCCTGCCTTATCTGCGATCTTACAGGGAAAGCTTTCATTTTTCACAGTTGGGTATGATGTAAGCTGTGAACTTTTCATAAATGTCCTTTATTAAATGCAGGTAAATTCTCTCAAAGCCTAATTTTAAAGATTGTATTTGTTTACTTTTAGAGAGGAGAAAGGAGGAGATAGGGAGAGAAGCATCAGTGCATGGTTGCCTCATGAGCGCCCCCTACTGGGGACCTGGCCTGCAACCCAGGCATGTGCTCTGACTGGGAATCCAACGTGCAACACTTTGGTTCGCAGTCTGGCACTCAATCCACTGAGCCACACATGGTGTACTGCTTAATATAGT